AATGTAACAAAAATATATATGTTCAGTTTTTGAAAAGTAATTGATTAAAATTCGACCGTTTAATGACTCAGCAGTTAAACCACTGACTCGATGACCCGATAATTTGTCTGAATCAACAATCGAATCGGATATGATAACTATGTTTTGAAGAGTGAAAGAATAACGAAGAAGAAAATTAAATTGGCAGTTTACATTTATTGAAACCCAAAAATTTATTTCTTTTAATCTTGTCATTAAAGACTATTTAATCGGCAAGAAAATTTATCAATTCGGATAAGCATTGACACCAATTTTTCTTCACGCATTTAATGACAAAACCTTTGTCATCTTTGAAGTTATGAAATAGTTCGCTAGACTGAGACTATTAACAAACCGAATCAAGAAAGTAAGTAATTTGACCAATTTTTCAAACTTGAGATTCTTAGTCGATAAAGATTATTAGACTTGTAGATAACGTATATCTACACTTTCAATTCTATTACGATACAAAGTAATTTCAATTCACGGTATTGGTTTTCATTGTCGCCATTAATGTATAACGTTCAATGACCGCATGTATTCATTCGAAATCCTAAATCCGCCACTACTTGGCCCCCTTATTTTTTGGCTTTGTAGTCTCCGACTTGCTAATAAATTAAAATAAAAAATATTTATGTTGAAAAAAGAAGAAGCATAATTGGATTTCCATCATAAACGGAAGTTAATGAACAACAAATTACGAAAATCTCATTTACAATATATTTAACTTTCAAAACATACATCTTTATCTAGTTACGTTAGGATTTAAACAAATTTATTTTGCAAATCGGGGTAGGGATTCAAAGATGTGTGCCTATTGTGTCCAAAAGTGCCACATGTGCAAAGTCTAATAGGTCCTTTGCTTCTTGACATGAGGTCGATCAGATTGACGAAGTTGCACTTGAAAATTGAGGACATCTTGTACAATGACCAAATCTGATACATGTAAACTGGGTATATTGCCATAGTGTACCTGTTGGATTTGGGCTGCCTCACTATTCTGTCTTCAGGCCTCTGAAGTTTGTTGGCCTGTTTTGTTGTAAGACTTGGGCTCGTTTGTTGTGTTTGGGCCAACCAGGTTACTGCCTTTTAAGTTGTTATAATCCTAGTTCTTCACGTGTAACATTCTAGACCATTGGATGGAGGAGTTGGATGGTTGTCTTTAAACCATATTCTGGACTCTTCTACTGGAATCGCTTCATTCTCTTTGGCTAGAGTTTTCTCTCTTCCTTTCTCTCGAGTGGTTGTCTCTGTAATTTGATTCTTGAGATCCTTAGTGTGATCTGTAATATCTTAGTGATATTTTCGAGTGTATATTGTATATACCAGTGAGAGGAAATCTGTATTTGTTAGAGACTAGAGAGAACTTGAAGAAATCTTCATACATTCTATAAATCTGAACTTTGTGATATTCTTAGTGGATTCGAGCATAATCTACTGCGTAGATGCTCAACGGGTGAGTAGGCTTTTAGCTGAACATCCGGGCTCCTAAAGGGGGCAAAAAATCTTTGTGTTGTTACTCTGTTTCAGTGATTTTTACATTCTTGAAGTTTTCTTGTTATGAATAATTGATTATGGACCAACAAGTGGTATCAGAGGCTCCTTCAAAAGGGGATTCGGGTTTTTTGTAAAAATCATTTTTCAGTTATATATAGATCTGGTTGTTTTTGGGAACAAAACTTGTTAAAACTTTGGTTTTCTGAAACTGTGTGTTTCATTTGCTCTTCGATCAAATTCTTGATTGGATTCCTTCTTGAAAATTTTTGATATGTACAACTGACCTTTCAACTGATCTTGTATTGTGTTTTACTGAGTGAAAAACGTTTTGGGGGTTCTGGATTCTTGAGATCTTATTCTGTTTACTTGGATCTTGACCTTTTTGGCTATAACTCGTTACTGAGTAGAAGTTATGTGTGAACTCGTTCTGAGTTACTGTGAGTTGAGTTGATTCACTCCTCCTGGTCACAACTGAGTTGCTGCGACTCGGTGATGCTTTGTGCTCTTCCTAAATTCTTGAACCTGGTTTGGTGTTCTGTATTGCTTCCTTTTGCTTATGAAACTTAACGTTTCAGCTCTGGTAAGACCTTCTCGACCTCCTTTTAGAATATATATCATCAGTTTGGTTATTTGTTTTAATTTGGTTATTAAGGTAAGTAATCCTCCTCTACTTT